GTTGTGCATAATTAATTACAGATTGCTAATGGAGCCCGAACTGGATATTGTTCTCTGTTGATTTATTTTATAGTCTAAAAGCTTGATGGTATCTGATTTATCTGCTTTGTGGTTTAAATGCATGTATTACTGGCTTACTTGATCACTGTTTAATTTTGGGATTTAAGATATGATTGCATTACCGGATGCATGTTCATTTGTTTATGTGATTATATTTGATTTGGTAATGGGGACTAAGGTAAAACAGGAAAGGGGTGTGATCAAATAAAACAGATAAGATGACAGCCTCATTAGATATCCTCAGAGATGGTGGACGGACCGGGTTCATAGGAAACCCTACTATGAACGTTGTCTCATACCAGACGGGGTATGGAGACTTGGTAATTTGGTGCTCATACCGGACGGGGTATGGGGACAGCCCGCTTCACCCTCATACCGAACGGGGTATTGAGGTTTAATGTCTTGGCGCTCATACCGAATGGGGTATGGGGACGACTCTGTAATTAAGACTGTTAACGAAAGGGGTTCACGTGTAGCGGGGACACCCCTACGGATCCCCATGGATACTAGTGGGCATGTGAAACCAGAAACAATTACGATTTAGTTATTGTTAATGAATATAAATTTATTATATGTTCTATGTTACTGATTGTGCATGAAGTTATGATTTATATGATATTATTGTCTTTATAGGTTGTTTTCATAAATTCCAAAATGGTAAGTGAACTGTAAATAATTTTACGATTGATAAAAAAATTTGCTAAATTTAGTGCTTTATTAGTTGTTTTGATTTTCTACCAACCTTTACTTATGTGGCGGTGATATAATGTGATGTCCTTATTGGGCTAGTGTAGCTCACCCCTTATTTAACCATTTCAAATTAAGAGGACCTGGTTCTTGAGCTCGATCCGCAAGAAGATTGCGAGTAGATGCTAGATACTTTATATTTTCCTTTACTTTTCTCATTTCTCGTGTTTCTTTCAGAGAATTCATTCCGTGATGTTTGTTTAGTACTTTTAAGTTATTGTGTAAGGGATGTAAACCTTAACCTTTTATTTCACTTCCACACTTAAATTATTATATATTTCTTTTTGGATTTTTGGGGTCGTTACAAGCTCCCATACTCTCTTGCAACCTAAAGTCAAAAGAGAATCGCAACGTTAGCTCTTTGAATGAAACTCTACAACTGTTTTGCGTAGTCGAGTTCTCCTATAAGACTGTGATGAAAGAGGTTTATGTCGAGGGAAATAACTACTTAGTCAAGTATCTCTACAGCTCTGCTTGAAGAAGATTCCCTTGCAACTTCATCTACTGAAATTTACATCTTACAGAAACTTTCATCTCCAACTCTAAACTCCAAGACTGAACTCCTACTCTAGCTACTACTTTATGCCCCTCGTCTTAGCTTCTCTTACTTAACATAAATTCAATAGTTAAGAAAGGAACTATTTATGGGAGTTCTTTACTCAGAAGAATCAAACTCAGACTGAGCTTCATTGTAAATCCTGCGAGCATCTTCTTCGCACCTCGACTTTGAGTTCCTAGTCACATCTTCAAACTTAGATTCGTTCCTTTTCTCAGATTCATTCCACTCCTTTCTCTTTTACTTCTGTGCTATTCTGTTACCCCCTCGTCATAGTCCTATAATGAACCTTTCCCCTCTTCTCCTTCTTGCTAAAGATCTGGCAGAAAGGGGAGATCCCCTTGCAAAGAAAGAAGGTTTAGCTCTTTGTTGAGGAAGCATCCAACGTAGCTTCTTCTGCGAACTCTTCTGCTGCAGCAAAAGAGTTTCGATCCTTAAGATTCGATGCAACAAGATCCACTCTTTCTCTGGCTCCCTTACTTGAAACCTTTTAGTCAATCTAGTCAGTTAAATAGTTTTCAACTTTGATCCTTTCAGCCCTAGTTTCGCTGTAAGCCAACGCCTTTAGTCGATCTGGTTGTTAGTCTCCTTCCTCTTTAGTCTAGCTGATAGCTTTTCCCTTGACTCGCCTCTATGCACCTACTTTCTGAAGTAAATATTCTCTCTTTCCTCTAAGTCGAAAGCGAGTTCCGTTCCCTCATTTACTACTTTTCAAGAAAGATATGCCCCAGTATTAAATTAAATAAAGTAGGGTTCCAAACCTTCCACGGCAAGTTTAGGCTTAGGAAGATTTTCTCTTTGTTCCATCTGTGAAGTAGATTCAAATTCTGGTGAAGGGAAGAGTTCAACTCCGATAGCTATAGGCCTTAGCCCCAAACTCAGAAGATATCCCAAACTTCTCTCTCGCTACCGCTAGCGGTCAAGCTTCTTTTGATATGGAGCTTTCTTCGGATTATCTTGAGGTCGGGATTGAAGAATCTGACAATGGCTTAAGCCTTTAGCTACGGCTGTTGAGGTAAGTCAGTCTTTAGTAGCCTAAACAAAATCTAAACAAACCTTACTGCTGGAAGGCTGGAGTCTTCCCCACCGAAATAGTTATTCTCGGAAGGAGGGAAATGACATAAGAGGGGATTCCCACTCTTTTCTCTGATATTGATGCCACCTTAAAAACTATATTCTCATAAGTTTCCTTCTTAGTCACCAGGGACAAATATGATTTTTTATCCCTAAAGGGGGAGATAGGGGGCTGAAGGAGGGTCACATAGAATAGCTAGGGTGCAACTCTTCTACATGGTTAGGTTTTTCCCCACGGAAGAGCTCCGCTGTCACCTGAAAGACTGCAATTAGCCTATCGGATAGAACTATTTATGAGGATGTGATTACAGTAAAGAATTCATGGATAAAAGATGCACATAGGTTGGCTCACCGTTGTTGGTTGTTATATTATAAATACATATCTGCTAGCGCACCTTTCATTCAATATCTCTTTCCCCGTCTGCTCTGTTTGAGATGGATCTTCCCGCTAGCATTAAACCCATGGCACTTCCCCTGTTTCTTTCTTTCATTCGTTTTAAAAATGAGGCAAGGATTGCGTTCAAGGAAGTTGATTGATTAAAGTGAAAAGTTACTATGTATTTTCTTTTCTTATTAAGATAGGATTAATTAAAGAAAGTCATTCATACCATAATCTTTCAATCAAATACCGCTGGTAGATCTTGGTAAGTAAGTATTAGTATTATATATATATTACATCTGTCTCTTGCACCTCTCTTTTTGTATGTGCTTTAGCCCTTATTTCTAAATTTTTTATAGAAAGAGAAAGAGATTCATCTTGCTGATGTGCTTGCTCATTAGATTGAGTATGTGGTAGATACTTTTGACCGAACTGCTCTTTGCTTCACCAAATATTCTGTTCTCTTCTATTTATTATAGAAT